TTTTAAGCTCAACAGTGAACAAAGACAGTTCCTTTGGCATCATTATCAAAAGACAGTAATTTAAAATAGAAGACATTTTATTGTGAAAGATTTTTTATCGGAGACACCTACACAGCAGAAGCAACACAGTTCTATTATTATTATTATTATTATTTTTACTTATTACCTGCTTTGCTCTTAGACACTACACTGAAAGGGAGGGATGCTCCGTGAATATCTTTTTAAGGAAAACTGACTTACCAAGTGGCAGGCGTATCCACGTTACACATAGGGAAAGCCACGAAAACGCTCATGCAGTCAGCCCATTCTCCGGGACTCGAGCCCCGGACCGAACTACCAGTGTTCAGCAGCTTTTACCGCTCGGCCGTTGGTAGGCCAAAGCAGTTCTATTTAAGACGGGAATCTGATGGATTTTTCATGATAACAGAACGGTGTTAGTTTATGAAGTACCAGAATTCGTTTTAAATTTATTTTTAATATTTGCCAACTGGTTACATTTTTTGTGGGAATGGAAAATTTAACACAGGACAACCATATACCTTAGCCGATATCTAGTCTTTGCAAATTACAGTTTGATTTTGATAATCGATCAAGTAAGAAAGATCATATATTTAAATATTATGGCTGTGTTGTCCTAACAGAAAAGCAGAGAGAGAGTCACAGTTTCTAATTTGGTGAGACATATATTGTTTGAATATACAAATTTCAATAAGTAACGATAATAGTAGAATAAGCATTTAGATATTAAAAAATTACAATAGAAAATGAGCACAAAAGAAGAACAAAAATTTTAAAACAGCCTCCTTGCTTTTAAAATCCCTAATTGGTGTTTAAAGTTACTCACACAACATAAATTCAAAATATTTTATACGGAATAGGCTACCAAATTTTATAAAATGTATTGGAATTTTGTGCTGCGAACCATTAACAATTTTATTTTAATTTATTTCTTCTTAAGGAAACAAAGCATCAAAGCGGAATATTTGTCTCACACATACAATATCGTTATTTGAAACTTTTAAGTATTCAATTCACATTTAAGACGAACAAAGTTTCAAAAATACACTTGCCGAAACGGAATAGTTTAAAAAATATTCGTATTTCTGCATAAGTAGGCGCTTTGAATTCAAATTTGTTTGCAATTAATAAAAGCGAGTCATCTTTAATTGCAGAATACGTTTTTGCATTAAAATATACAAAATTGAATGTGCTTTGATAATTATTAATGCGATAAATTTCGGCATAAAAGCGTTATATATTTTCGAGAAGGAAACATAACTTTCTTTTCCAATGTAAATTAAAAAATACGAGAAGTTTTTGAAAGGGAAAATGTACAAAGAAAATAAAATAAAGATACATGAATCAAGATACATATGGAAAACCAATTGACAGATAAGACTAATATTTGAATACTTCATTACTGTAGGGAAGCTGGATTATGAGCATGATGGGATTATCAACAGGGAATCAAGATAAGGAAATCTTGCTCTTGATAGTTAATCATGGATGGTGAATTATTTATACGGAATAATTCATTGACAGAAGAAAATATCCGGAGTAGTTATATTCAGAGAAACTTTAAATGCTTAGTCAACGGAACAACAGAAACGCCTAGTCAGCAGAACAGGAAAATGATGGATAATTATAGATTCTTAGTTTTTTTCAGAATTTATTTATTTTTTAAGCTAAACTAAATGAAGTTATAAATATATTTTTTTCAATTACAATGTTTTTTAAGTATGTATTACGTCTCTCAATATTTGTAATTATAAAGGCTATTTCGCTAATCAAGTGATAAAACTTAAAAAATTTCATGTATTGGGGTAACTTTGAGTGGTTTTATAACGCAGACTCGTACAGAACGCGCGAAAATCGTTACAGTTTGTGTTTTAATAATAAGGATTTATTAGTTTATTTTAATTTTAAAGGTTTTACTATACACAGTTTATTTTATTCCGGCCAGAATTATAATTGTTCCAATTCTATTCGTTTGTTATTTCGGAAAGGTTTAATTTACGCACTTTGCTCGATTCCGCAAGTATTTAACTTCGTTTTGCGATGGCAAGTTTTTTGGCGAACGCCAAGTATTTAAGTTGCCAAGCGAGAGGGAAGAAAGCAGTGAGTCAAAGCAGGCCGCTTACCTTAGAAGTTACTTAGTTGCTGCCTTCAGTTTAATCCTCGATAAATTTATTGTAGTGTTCACAGTCTCTGTACTACAGACGCTTCCTGTAATATAAGGCCAATCTTCCAAGTTTTGTTATTCTAAAGTTAAATTAGAGTTTAGTTTTATTTTTTATACTTTTACGTTAGACCCCAAGTAGCGGGTCAGTGTATTCCGAAGTACGGAAGTTATTGTATATAGAGAAAAAATAAAGGGTTTTGTATACCCTTCGTCTGTATCCTGTCTACTTACCACAATTAGTGAACATAGCTTTAGTAAGCTCTCTGTTCCGAGTCAGGTCCTTGTATGTTCCCGAAGAAGGTAAGAAGGAACATTGACCCTGATAATATTAACTCGTTTAAGAAGAAAAAGTGGAAAGATTTTATTGAAAAATTACATTTTGTATTAAAACGCTTCATATAAGTAAAAACGATTATACTATTAACAAACTGAAAACTGATATTAGCGATCTCATACCAGTTTTCAGTTTCTAAAAAATGAGAAATTCAGTTTTTCAGTTTTTAAGAAAGATGAAATAAAAACGAAGAAAAGATAAAAATTGGACAGAAAATGAAGTTACTTAACGAGTAAACATCTACAGGGTGTCCACAAAATCTCTGAACAACTTGTTGTTTGGACACAAATAACTTGTTGTTTGGGAATAGAACAACTTTGGTACTGGTCACACTTTCACAAGGAGGCTCAAAGCTCAAAGCTTTTGTAACTAATGCCCAGTGTTGTGGCACCCCGTCGTGCGGTTTTGGTTTTTTTTTAACTATGCCAAAGCACACTAGGGCTATCTGCCTAAGGGAAGGTATGCCTTCATGGAGGACTTTCTAAGGGAAACTGGCTCGTATACCCGTTACACATGGGGTAAACCACGAAAACGCCCATGCAGCCAGCCCGTTTGTGGGATTCGAACCTCAGACCGAACTACCAGTGTTCAGCGACTTTACCGCTGGGCCGCTAGTGGGCCCCCGTCCTGCTTAAAAATGATTTCTGGCTGTTATTTTTTGTTCATGGAAGAAAAGTGCTCCTAAAATTTTGTCATGCAGCATCACAACTGAACAGTCAGTGTCCTACTGTCTCGCTTCAACTCCCTCGCAACATGAAGATTTTCAAATACCCCTATCCCCACATTGCATGAATATTAAAAAAGTTAGAAAAACGTTTTGATATACGCGTAGTAATACCACCTAACTTTACTGTACTACATCTTACAGGGGCCCACAACAAGACCATTACATATTAATTTCTGCAGAAACTGCATGAAAATATTAATTTTTGTTACAGGCTCACACAAACATGGAGTTCTATCACGAGGAAATTTGTTGCCAAATATTCTGTAATTGCTCATGAAACTCACTTACATTACAATATGTCGATAACCAGTGTCCCGGCATGTTAAATATGTGTTTAAATGTGGAAAGAATGCTTAATGGGAAAATGATTCTATTGAGACATTACCTGAAGACTTTCACCTTGACCGTTAGCATTATCTTGTTGAAAGCAGGCCTCCCAATAGATGCAACAGCATTGTTAATACAAAATAGTGCTAAATGTTGTCGATGTATTTTGGGTTGTTAAACTGTTTAACTAAAGGTGCTAAATCTGAACGTGTACCATAAGCAGATGATTACGACGGATGGGATGGGCATAGTCTGCTCCATGGTAATTTCGAGCGCAGGGTGAGCTATGTTGGTAGAACCTCCTCCAGAAATGAATTCTCTGGTCATTTAAGTGAAGGGATAGTTGCGAGTGTGACGCCACTTCAATCCGTTGCAATCCAGATTTCGCTTGTGTTACGTAGAAAATACAATAACATTAAAATTACTTTAAAACTATGTCTTTTGTTATCGACAAAAAATAAATAAATAAACGTACACTCACATAATAAAATCTTCTTATCTTAACTCTTTAATGTTTGGTGAATAGAATACTTTAAGTTAAAGATTCACTTAAATCAACACCAGAGAAAAAACAAGTTTAACATATCAACGTTCATACTCTTTTAGTCAAAATATGAAAGGATAATGACCTCCCAGGTGTTTTGGTAGAAACAAAGATTATTTATGAAAACAAAATGTGAAAATGCATTTCCGCAATAAAATCATCAATATGCTATCTCTCACTAAAATAAAACAATATCTGCTCTCCTTCCCGAACACGTTTAAAACCCTAAAACACATTATATTTAAAATACAACACAACTCTTCGAAATACCAGGGAAAGATACATCCCACATGTAAGAATAAATCACCAGTTCAAATAAATTAAATAAGCCGATCGTACAGTCACAAGACACTAAAAATTAATTTTTCTACTCCCGCAATAAGTTACTTACCCAGGTTCGAATTGAAATAACCATGCTTTCCGTAAGGATCACATGGGTGATCTACAGTAGACCACGGATAAAAACTCAAATGAAATATGCAATAATTAAATCGATAAAGACATTTATAAAATATTCCAAACATTATAATTTTAGATAGCTGGCTAGACTACCCCTACAAAATATTATCCGAAAATTTACTCATAATTTCTCATTTGATGGCTTATCTCTAAGTGTATAAATACTACAAATCATTAATTAATAATTCACATTTAGAATAATGAACACTTTATATTCTGAAAATTAGTAATCAATTAAATTCCTTGATATGATACTGAATACACATTTACTTCAATGACAATTTCTTTTAAGAAACATTTATTTTCACTCAATTTAATTTAATGATAACTCATCTCAATTAAAATTTTTTTTAATTCACTTTCACAAATTAGAAATCAAATAACTAGTAACAAACAAAACGAGAGAGAAAAATATATATACACTTACGGAAGCAGCATACACAACAGTCCGTGAGACTCGGGAAGCTACCGGACAGTTTTTCTAATCCTTTGTTGCTCACTGTTCCACTAGTTGGAACACCCAACTTGAATCGCTTCTGAAACCGTTAAATTCAACCATAAATGGATGAAAGCGCCTTTATAATATACTTCGAACTTCTCTTTTTAAATAATCGATGGCAGCATATCACAAAGAGTCCTAGAATGTTCATTTATGATGTGCTATTAAAATCCACTTATTTTATAGTAATTTTCTATATTTTTTTGGTGATACAAAAAAATTTGTTTGAAAAACAATTTCTGTATATTTTTTATGGCTGTGCTGTATATTATTTGTTCTCCTTTTATTTTTTTTTTTTTTTTTTTTTTTTTTTTTTTACATTTTTATACAAAAGGCATGCGAAGAATCATTCAATAAAACGGTGTTCCATTAGCGAGAACACTGCGCCTTTAGCGATCTCATGCTATTACGGATCACAACATCTGTCTTAGTAGAAAACATGCGTTGTATAAGTTTTCTATTTCCGTTGTTTTGGGGGAATGAATTCAAACAAAGCAGTCTTGAGGGGTGAGGTGTGGTTTGTGCTATGAAAGCCCTAATATGGTCATCTTGAATTTGTTGTGAGAAATTACGGTGACGCTCAAAATTTGGAACGCCTCTAATTCACTTTTGCCTTGCCTCAAACATCAATAAATTAAAATTTAGCCAATCTTAAAAAAAAAAAAAAAAAAAAAAACTGGAATCGTCTGCAGCCAACCAGAACAACAGCAATAAACAACTACTCAAATTCTAAGAAAATCAGTCCCCTCTTTCAAGATGACATACTATTTTTCCCGCGCAACCACAGGAATATTTTCAATCGTAATTCTGTTAAACTTGCAGACTCCAGTAGGTAATAAACTTATCACACAGTTCTCTTTTTCAGAAAGGTCGAAAATACTTTGTCGCCTCCGAACCAGAAAACACGTGTTCAACTTCCTCGAAAGATAAGGGGAAGAAAACGCTGCTAGCAAAAAAGTGACCGCTCTGCTTAGAACGGAAGTAAAAACCTGCGTCTTTTAGCTGTATCAACTTTTCTGCTAACTTAAAAGAGCTTTGCCGAAATCGAAATAAAAATTTAAACAATATTATAGATACAATATTATAAATTAATTCTCCTATAAGAACATTACAAATTCCCTATTCACAGTAAATTAATATTATCACGAGCACTGTAAACTAATACGTAATAATTGTGCACAACAAAAATAATATATAACACTTACCAAAGTAACCGTTAGCATCTAGGATTTACAACTATTGCAGCGGACGCTGACAATGGAGTTCAATCTCTACCAGCCCTTTTAATACAAACTTAAACTAACATTAAATTAATAATTCATAACATTAAATATCCAGGAGATGTAGTTAATTGTTTCTAAATATTAATCAGCGAAGTTGTTAGTAGACTTAAACAGTTTTCTTTACCATTAAGTAAGTTCTCTTAAGAAGATGTCATTCTAAACTGCTGCCGCCCTGAAACGATATAGACGCTCTGCAGGAAGCCAGGATGCTAAAAAACAAAATTCCTATCTGTGACATCCTCTCTGCAAGAAGAAAATTCCTATTTGTGACATCTGTCCCATTATTCCTATCTGCAGAAACAAAATTCCTATCTGAATTTCTGAATGAAAATTCCCGATCGACTGAATTTGAAATGAAAATTCCCGATCATCATGCGAGCTATTCATCATCATGGCCAATATATTTTCGTAAAAGCTACGATGTTGCCTTGTAAGATTCACAGAACCACTGTACTGTCGTCGTGTGAGACTTAGACTCATTTGCTACTGCAAAGAACACTACAAAGTAAGTGCACTTCCGAATAACTTTGCGGCTGACCAACAATCGTTTTTTATGTGCATCTTTCATATCGTTTTCAGAATGCATCTTATTAAATATGCATCTTTCATATTCTACTTAAACGTGACATGTGCATTCTCTGGCTAAGAATTTTCAGTTACTTAAATGTGTAAGCAAGATGTATTTGTATTTATTACTTTCGGGATATTCTAAATGCTCGGAATTTTTTGTTTTGCAGAGTATAATCTTGTGAAATTCTATTTAGTTTTTTAGAAACTTTGTTGCTAATGCTATCACATTCACATTTCTTAAATTAGGAAAATGATGGTATTAACCAAAAAATTGTAATAATCTGTACTAAATTCCTCTAATAAAATATTTTTATTAATTAATTGCTCTATTTTGTAAAATTATTTTAGAATGTAATAATACATTTAAGTCAGATAAGTAAGTATAAATTAGTTATACATTATTATACATATATCTCAAATTTTGGTCTGAAGCTAGAAAATTTGCTAAAAAAATTTCCAGTTATCTTTTCAGAATACTACTGTTAATAATAATAATAATAATATAATAATGTTTTTATGAATATAATAAATTTATGGTATTGTTAATTAACACACAGTAAAGTTAAAAATTCATTAAAAACTTTTAGTTTTATTTGTTTATTTTAGTAGTTTTCTCACATCGAGCAGAAACTAATTCTTTAAACATTTGAAACATTAATATTTCATTTAGTAAAAATGATTTGTATACGTGGCGAAATTAGTAATCAATTAGAGCTGATAATTGGCTCTGTATAGCTCTGTTGATAAAGCACCTGTCCCACACAGAGGAGGTTCAACCTCTAACTGGTATTTAAGGTTTTACAATGGCGCTATGTCCCATTTCAAAGAGGCGGAGGGAAAGGATAATGACAGCACATTTTTTTTATCACAGTTGGACCAAGTCCTCAAGATCGAATTATGTGAATCTTATGTTAAGTAGAAGATATCCGCACGTGATTATCAGTTTGGGAAAACTCAACTATTAGAGAATCAAGCTGCGAATATTTTGGATTCTACCTCCAGTCTAGAATCTGATATTCACAAGTTTTCCTAAAGAATAAACAGTCCTCTTTTCCTCTTTGTTACAAATTTTACAAGTAAAAAGAACAACTGCCAGTTGTCTAACTGTATGCAAGACAATTGTGCTGAATTAAATGAACAAAATAAAAACGTATGCCAATTTTATTTAATTTTCTTTAAATTTATCATTCACTATTGATGATTTCATAAAATCTGTAAACGGCTGAATTTGCTTAATCTCTGTAATGTTGATCTTTTCATATATGCAAATCTAATTCCCACATCCATTCTGTAATACCCTTGTTTTTTGGGTAACCATAGTTCTTTAATTAATCTTTTCATCTACTGTTTCTGAACAAATAGGTAATATTTAAGCAGGCGCCTTTTGTTTTTATAAAAGAACTTTAGGGATTTAATTACAGGAGTAATCAGACGACAGAAAAATGCGGTAGCAAATTCAATACCGCAACTTCATTTAAAACTATGCTAGAAAAATTTGCAAAGACTCGAACGTTCTTTTATTCGAAATCACTTTAAATCTAATTATAAAACTGACAAGAGGTGAAATCTCTAGACAGTAAAAACTTTCCTAATATGTAATTAACGTATTAATAAGGAAATAAATAGAAGAATTATCTTACAAATGGTGTGAAATGAAATTCTCAATGAATATTTTTGAAGTTAATTCGTGAAGAATTAACGTACTTAATGTAATAGTTATTTGGAGAAAAATAATTTCCACTCTTCATAATGTTTTAAAAATAAGATAAATTATATTCCTTAAATTTGCGTCTTTTGGCGTTGTGCATATAAAGAAAATAATGTTATAGTCTTTAAATTTTGCATGTAGATAATTGAACGGCGTTGGAGTACTTGTTTTATGACTATATTTTACGATCTCGTTTGCTTTTTACAAAGAGAAATATGTCGTGAAAATATGTTATATGGGTATTATGTTAAAAACAAATCCACTATTTGTATAGTATTTTATTATAATGTATTTGCGACGAGTCAATTTTGTATCAATGGTTTGTCAAATACGAAAGCATTTTAGTAGAAGTTTTAATAAATCCCCCATTTTCACAGATACTGCAAGTGTTCTCTGTATGTGCAAGTGCTCTCTTTTGGTGACATAACACATGTGAGTAGTAGTCAGTTTCGGTGTATGTCTTTTAATAGAATATCCTTGTTATTGACCATCATAATAATATTAGTACATTTCGCTGAGCTCGGTCAAGACCGCACAATAATACAGTTCTTAATGTGCCCGAAAGCAATAAGTCATGGAACATTAAATTCTTGGGGGATCTCGGGGTCCAATTTACAAAACATATGGACTGAACTCAACTACTATTTGGATGTGTGTCGTATGACGACGTTGCACACATACAGATTTATAGCCTGTGAGATAATCTTGATTACTTTCTAATTCTTTTCCTAAATTGCTATAGCAGAGTAATACTTTTGAAAATATAGAATTTTGACATCTGGTGAAACATTTCCAGTAATCCTGTATAAATTAAAATGGCAATGCTAATTAAGCAGTAAGAAGTTATTGAAAAAAGAAGGGACAAAATAGATTGAAAAAAATTATCGCAATGGGTTAAAATGAATGAGTAACTTTCTGTCTGAAATATCTTTTAATAATGTAAAAATAATTTTCACATGAAGTGATGATTCATATATTAAATATGTATTGCACAAAATTGGCTAAGTTTTTTTCTTCCTTTCCACATTTATAAAAAGGAGAGAGAAGTAGAAATATAGATACAGAGAAAAAATCTCCATCTGCTAGCGCTAATATAATTGAATAAATTGTGATATGAGTTTTTGCTATATTTTCTATTTCGAGTCTTTGAACAAAGATGTTAATATTTATACCTACAGTAAATTATTAAGAGATCTTTCCTAACGCTATACGGTATGCATCTCCATTATAGTGAATAAATGTAATTTTGAAAGTATAAGAGGACAGTGCTGATTGCAAATCGATTGATTTAAAATCATGCTTGAGGTTCTTCGCAATAATTTTTAAATTAGTATAATCTTTCACATTAAAAATAAATGCGAGACTATGGCGTTTTGGCTATTAGAAGTAAGAAGCCTTTAAATATTACACCAATAATTCTGTAAATTTAATAATTGTAAAGCTTGCGCATTAAAGTCTTCTAAAGTCATTGTAATTAATAAACGATGTTAGAAAATGTGAAGTCATTTATTTCCATTTTTCGGTTTATAATATTAACCCGGCGGAAGTCGCACCAAGAAAAGTTACTAGAGTGGGCGCGTGGGGTATCACATACCCCAGTATTTAAAATACGATAAAAAATAGTTTTATTTTATTTTAAGCTGTGTTTCTTGTTCTCGTGTATTATAAATACGTGAAAAATAATTGGGTTTCAAAAAATGAATTTCCAAAATAATCTTAAAATTAAGATAAATGAAAATAATAAAAAAATAAACATCATGCCTCTAAGTTTCATTGCATCTCTAATACACAATGCTTATTTTATTTCTTTACACTTTGAACGAAATACATGCATGTGTTTTTGGCATAGAATGTTTTCACATTTTAAACATTGCATTCACGTTCTTCTGTCCTTGGCCCGAGGGCAATTTATCACATCTTTCATACTTAGTTGTTTCAAATTTCATGTATTCGTTTTAATTCTTCGTCGAAACTCTTGCTTTTGTTTTGCATGCAGTACGTCAGTTTCTTGGTAAAGTATTAATCTCTGATTGTTTGTTCAATACTTTTTTTCATTAATTGTAATGCGAAGTCCTTCAAAAACAGACTTCTGTTTCTGGTTGGTGGATTAGCAGTTGAATGTAATATAATTCAAGCATTTATTACAGCAATATTCAGTGCAGGAAAGAAAATTACCATTGGCCACCTCCTTGTTATTCTGGCAATTGAATATTTGGCTGACCCCATATCCACTGCTCCTTTAGTCATATTATAAAAACATATAATTCCTGAC